GCGGCTGAGCGTGAGCGTGGTTGGAATTGTTGCTAATGTCTTGCGTGTTCCATCTCACTAGGTGTCAGGGGGCCTCTGTGAGGGCAAAAATTTTTTTAATTTTTTTTTCCGCCGTGCTGTGCTACTTGCGGAATCTTAGTTCCCCAACCAGGGATGGAACCCAGGCCCACGGCAGTGAAATGGCCGAGTCTTAACCACTGGACGACAAGGGAATTACCCCAAATTTTTTTTAAATTTAAATTTTATTTTTAAGTTGAGCTTTAACTTACATAGCATAAAATTCACCCTTTTAAAAAGTACGCTCCTGTGTTTGTGTGTGTGTGTGTGTGTGTGTGTGTGTGTTCAGAGTTGTGCAACAATAGCCATTATCTGATTCTAGGACATTTTTTTCCATCACCCCAAAAAGAAACCGGTACCCATTAGCAGTCCCCATGCCGCGCTCCTCCCAACACCTAGCAACAACTAGTGTACCTTCTTTTTATATGAATTTGCCTAATCTGGATATTTCATGTTAAGTGGAACCACACAATATGTAGTGTTTTGTGTCTGGCTTCTTACGTTTTTCAGATTCATCCATGTTGTAGCATGTATCAGTACTTCATTCTTTTTTATGGACGAACACTACTATTGTATGAATATACCATGTTTTGTTTATCCATTCATCTGTTGATGGACATTTGGGTTGTTTCCACTTTTGGCTATTATATAAGTACTGTTGCTACGAACATTCCTGTACTGGTTTTTGTGTGGATGAATGTGTTCTTTTCTTTTGGGTATATGCCTAGGAGTGGCTGGGTCATATGGTAACTATATGTTTAAACTTTGGGGTAATTGACAGATTGATTTCCTAATTGGCTGCACCATTTTACATTCCCACTGGCCAATATCTGAGGGTTCGGATATTTCCACATCCTTGATAGCATTTGCTATTATGTATTTTTCTGATTATAGCCATCCTAGTGGGTGTGAACTGGTATCTCTTGATTCTGATTTGCATTTTCCTGTTGGCTGATGTTGAAAATCTTTTCATGTGCTTATTGGCCTTTGAAACAAATACATTTTTATCTTCCTTTAAGTTACCTCAGGCCCCCAAAAGACCATCTGAAAAAGGGTCCTGGTCCAATAACAGTCTTCATCCACTATCTCCACAACATTACCATTTCTTTTGTTCCTCAACACCAGTCAGTCCACATTCTGCAGGGTGCCTGCCCTCCCACAGAAAATTCTCTCACCAAGCTCTCCAGTGTCAGTTTCCAAATCCCACAGGCATTTTTCAGTCATTATCTTACTTGCCATTTAGTTCTATCTGGCCCATCCCACTAGACTCCTGATTTGATCACTGATTTTATTTTTCAAGAACCTCTTTGTCCCTCCCTGTGATCTGGCTTCTATAGGGTACAAGTAGGGCACAGAGAAGGGGAAACCATGGCCAGATATGTTGATAATAGTCTACTTTAGCCAGGCTTGTTTGGATGCAAGTGACAGAAACCCACACTGTTCATCTTTCCATCAGAACTGTCTTACGTTTTCTTCCCCACTAGACTGTGAATTCCTTTGGGGGCAAAACATAACTTGTTTATTTGTCATTGCCAGTGCTCAGCACAGTGCCTAGCACACAATAAATGCTCAATGAATGGAGGGTGTTATAGACTGGAATTCCCAGACTAACAGAGGAGACTGACACAGGAATAAACAGTAATTAGTGCAGTATTACCAGTACTGATAAGATGAAAGGTAGAGGAATTCTAGGCTTTTTATGACTTGGCCTTTAGTTTTCTAGTTTTCTAGCTTCATTGCTCAAGGTGGTTTTCCAGCCAAACAACTTCTTGCTGTTTCTCCAATAAGTCCTGGGCCTCTTTGAGTCCATGCTCCTGTGCTTGCAGTTCTTTTTGCCTGGAATGCCTCAACATCCCCATCTTACCTTGTCCTTCAAGATCCAGCAGGAAATCCTCTCCTACCTCTGAACTCTTGTAGCCCTGTATCTATTGATATATCTTTCTTATAATATAATTATAGTTGAAGTTAAAGAGTAGTATTTGCATATTTAACAGCTGTTTTGTTAGGTGGTAGGACTTTGAGAGTTTATGTTCTTTTCTATTTTTCTGTATAATTCCAATTTTTCTCTAAAAGCAAATACTAATATTAATTTCTTTCTTTCTTTTTGAAAAGAGAAGCAAGATAGAACAGTGACTAAAAAGCTCATATTTTGGAGGTGACTATTTATATTTGGACCCTGCCAGTGCTACTTAATAACCATATAACGTTGAGTATTTTCATAACTTTTTGCCTCAGTTTTCTCATTTGTAAAATGCGGGCAATCTCTTAGGGTTGTGAGGATTAAATAAGGTATAGAACTCCCTTAGACAGTTCTAGAACATATATTTGCTCAATCAACGTTTGCTATTTAAAAAGGAAGAAATTTTGACATATTTTATTACCTTGGTTGGATGACCAGCTTCTTGAAAGCAAATCCCTGACTTACTTATCTTTGTATTTTAACTGTGCCTATTGTGGAGCCTTGTATGAGATATTTCGCAAATAGAAATGTAGCAAATATTTGCTAAGTAATGCAACTGAATATTTGGCTAAGTATTATTTTATTTATTTATTCATTTTTTGGTGGCACTGCGTGGCTTGTGGGATCTTAGTTCCCTGACCAGGGATTGAACCTGGGCCCTCGGCAGTGAAAGCACAGATTCTTAACCACTGGACCACCAGGGAATTCCGGGCTACGTATTATTTTAGACCAGTTTTTTTAAACAGATGCAGTCCCTGAAGTTCAGCAGTTCTTGTGTAGCTTAGGAATTGCATCTGCTTGCCCAGGGAGTACATTCTCACTTTTTGTTGTTGTTGTTTTTAACCTACCTCTTGTTTCCTCAATGGGGAACAATCTTTGATCAAATGGCAGTAAAATGACCAGGTAAGGCAGTACATACTTTCTGGAAAGGATGGAAGTGCCTGGATCCTTCCCCAAAATATTTTAATAAGGAAGCCATGTGGGAAAACAACAGAGATATTATATCACGAGGCTACTAGAGTGAGAGCCACAAGGAAAGTCCTATGCTGGTTTTGTAACCTTGGCTTCTGAGAAAGAATGCAGCCATTAAATGATAGAGCAGTGGTTTAAACTGGAAACCTCTTCATTACCCACGTGTTTTCTATGAGAATTTTTAAAAATTAATTTATTTATTTGTTTATTTTTTGGCTGCATTGAGTCTTCGTTGCTGTGTGCGGGCTTTCTCTAGTTGCGGCGAACAGGGGCTACTCTTTGTTGCGGTGTGTGGGCTTCTCATTGCGGTGGCTTCTCTTTGTTGCAGAGCACAGGCTCTAGGCATGGGGGCTGCAGTAGTTGTGGCACGTGGGCTCAGTAGTTGTGGCACACGGGCTTAGTTGCTCCGCAGCATGTGGGATCTTCCCGGACCAGGGCTCGAACCCATGTCCCCAGCATTGGCAGGCAGATTCTTAACCACTGCGCCACCAGGGAAGTCCCTATGAGAATTTTTATATGGTATTTTCAGTTTGTTGTACACATTCTCTCTTTCACACACACACACACACACACACACACACACGCAATTATTCTAGAAAGGTGCAGTCTAATAGAAACAGAGTTTGAGCCACATAAGTAATTTTAAATTTTCATATATATATATATATTTAAAGCAAAAATAAAAAACCCGAGTGGAATTAATCTTGATAATATATTTTATTTAGCCTGATGTATCCAAAATAATGTGATTTTAACATGGAATCAATTTAAACATATTTAATAAGATATTTTACTTTTTTTTTTCAAAACATGATATGAATGTATTTACATCTACACACAGCTCAGTTTGGACTAGCCACATTTCAAGTGCTCAGTAGCCACATATGGCTAATGGCTGCCATGTTGGACAATACAGTTCTAGATCATCTGCATGATCCTCTCATAACATACCTTCATTTTTGCTTGCTCTTTTTGGTATCAAAGTGCCAGTTGTCATGATCTAATAAAACATTAACAGAAGCAAGCAATGTGAAAACAATGCATCAGTACCAACTGACAGCCACATGACACGCAGTGGAATGAAGAAACCAAGAAAAAGCAAAATTGGGGGAGAATCAAGAATAGCTCAGCAAATGGTGGTGCCTGTACCTGTCACTACCACATTCATGTTGCAGGTGATTTTATTTCATCCAAATATTCCCTGTCACATTAAGTAATGATGTTATTTGGATTTTATTAACTTTACTGGTTTTGTTGGTGTTTAATTTATAACTGTAATTTGATAGCTTTTTAAAAGCTATAAACATAAGGACATTTAGAAATTTATACTTTTATAATAATTTATATTATTTAAATAATGTAATTGTCATTAAAAATATTTCCAGACAGCATGAGAAGTGAGTTTGTGAAAATTGTCCTCCCTTTTAATGGGATTGTTCCTTAAGTTGGAGAATCACCGAGGATATGAAAGGCCAGCCATTTGTAAGAAAACCTTTCCAGATAGCTACATTTGAGAGCAGAGGGGAGGAGGGGGAGCCTTAGGGATTTGGAAATATTTGACCAGGATATCAATATAGATCACTTAGAGATCAAAGATAAGATTTCTGAATGAAAAAATATAACAACAGAAACAGACTCGTAGATACAGAGAACAAACTGGTGGTTGTCATGGTGGGGGCGGCGGGGGAGATGAGTGAAGTAGATGAGGAAGATTAAGAGGTACCAACTTCCAGTTAAAATGACTTATTTAGTCATGGAGATGTAATGTAGAGCATAGGGAATATAGT